TCGAATGCAAGCTGAGGAGGAGCGAATTGAAGAACTTCAGATGTGCATCGAGTTTCAAAGAAGCCGTCAACATACTTTCATCTTGTACATCTTTTCTTTTACTAGAATTAAAAATTATTATTACGCTGTTGTGTCAAGGCTGGCTGGCACTCTCATTAATTAATTTATTAGTACATGATGAAAATCACCACAAATCTAACAAAATTAATGATAACACGATAACAACAATAACAACAGCAGCAGTAGTAGCATGGTGAATGATGGTTATAAGGGATATCGAAAGTTGAAACTGCTAATGAAATAATATCTTTTCATTCTTTTTTTCCAACTTTTTACTTTTTTTTCATTTTATTTTCCAACGCAGCCACAGTAGCAGCAGCGAGTCAGGCAGCAGACTTTGGCAAGAGTGACATAGAGCTGAACCTTCTCGTCGACAAATCGAACGTCAATATAGCTCCGAACAACGACAACAACAGCAGCAACAACAATAACATTAAAAATAACATCAACGACAAGGATCAGATTACATCACAGACGGCAGACTTGCGACAAAAGCATCAACAACTCAATTACATCGACAGCAACAGTGGCAAAGACAAAGATCTACAAGAAGCCGACCAGCTTTTAGAATCAAAAGATTTAAATGAATAAAAAAAACATCAACTACTACTACTACATCAATAACAGCAACAATTACATCACTAGCATCAATGTCATTGTCGCCGATATTTGCCACATGTTAATTTTTTTATAACCCCAAAATATCAAAATTTAATTGAAAAAGATGCCGTATCTTATTACTGCCTCTCTAATCAGCATAGCAACATGACAGACACTGGACCGTTGTTGATGTGTGTTTCTTTTGGTACTTTATACATAACACTTGGTACTTAATAGTCTTAGTACATAATACTTATTACTTAATACTCACGTGAGCTCTGTACTTATTCTCTAGGTTTATCTTTACCATTCATACTTAGCTAGTCTAATTATAGTTTTATTTATAAAGAAAGAGAGAGAGAGAGAGAGAAAAGTAGAGAGAGAGGAGAGAGAGAGGAGAGAGAGAGAGAGAGAGAGAAAGAATAAATAACTCGACTATTAAAAGAAATGATTCGTCTTTCTTACTTACCATGTCCAGTATATATAAATTCCACTAGTCCAATATTATAGTTAATTATAAAGGATTAAAACAGAACAAAGAGTAACACAGAGAAAGAAGTAGCAATAGAAAAAGAGAGAGAGAGAGAGAGAGAGAGAAAGAGAGAGAGAGAACCATTCCATAATAATAGCTGGTTCAGTGTTACAAAATTGTTGACTTATATAAAAATTAGTTGTATGTTGTTGTGTCAGTAGATAAATAGATAAGATAGCTAAGCACTAGGCCGTATTTTTATAAACAGCAGTTTGTTTTTTTATCATTCTTGTTCAGTTGCATCTAGATTGTCAGTTACGCATTGTTTAGGACATATTGTTTATTGCGTATTACGTATGGTATTAATGTAATAAAATACCTGCTTGTACTATTATCGGATGAATATTTTGTTAGTAGCAGTACCGCCTGCTTCTTTAACAGTTGTTCTTTTTTATTGTATTTTCATTTCACATTTGCATGAAGTCTTTTTATTTATTATATTTGCATGACATATATTTCTTTATAGAATTTATTATATATATATATATATATATATATATATATTGTATATACATGCTCATATATGTATATATATATATATAGGTAATAGACCATAATTTTTACAATATTCTATAAATTCTACAGAATGTTTGGCGTTAATATGTTTGTAGTTCGTTTTTTCGATTTTTCTCACTAAAGTTTTTTGGTGAACGTTTAGTTTATTAAAATTCAAAATAAACTTATTTTCTGAATTCATGCTGCAAATTAATTCATGCTGAATTAATGCTCAAAATTATGGTCTATTACCAACACTACTTATATGCCATACATGTATATATACACTTTTATTGAGTGAACAAATCAATTACACATACATTGTTACATCATTACTCATTAAGATGTGAAGACCTACTCGTCATGTGATGAATAGAAGGATAGGACTTTTTGATGATGATGATGACGACGATGGTTGTCGCAATGATAACGGTGTTGATGCTGATGATGATTTTTATGGAGAGTTATGATAGTGATGCAAGTTTCAGGGACTATTGAGTAGATTTTGATAATTCTTATTTAGTTGACGTGTGAAGAAGAGGATGATTTCTAACGAGATAGAGAGATGAATACACCATCACGATGATTATACAATATACAATGTATGATGACGCGATGATGCGAATTTTTTTTTTCCCTGAACGTTTTAAAAGATTTTGTGAAATATTTTTTGATGGTTCCTTATATAATGGCATTCCAGTTCACAGGCTACGTGCATTTGTTAGATAGATTGCTGAAATTAATTTATTTTTTTTTAGTTTCAGTACAATGTACGCTATATTTATTTATATATTTTTAATTATTTTTATATTATTACTATCTATAATTTACAAAATTTTTTTTTTAATTGGAATTTTTTTTAAACTACATTATTTTTATTCAGTTCGAACTCGTTTCTGAAATTTTTAGGTTTTGACTTATCAATTAAAGTCCATCATTTCTATACGACAGTATTTTTTAACATTTCTGTATTTTTTTAGAATTAATTAATTATTAAATAATTAATATTGTTATTTTGATTATATTTTACGTAAGCAACAACAACAGTTATTAATTAATTAATTTACTTACTTAATTGAATCATTTTGAAAATTATTCTTTTCGTAAAGTTCAAAATTCATACATTACAACTATTCTTTATGGAATTTCAATTTTTATATTACACCATTTGCTTATGTATATTATCTAATATATCCAATGTATCTATGTATCTATATATCTTACAGCATTAACATATATAGGCGATAGATGTATGTATATACTTGTATATGTAAACATATATATATATATATACTCTACTTATATATTTATATATAATATATATTTATATAAAAATATATATATATATTTTTTTTCAAATTGCCTTCCAATGTCTTTCAAAGGTACTCATACTCACACAGTACATCATTTTGTATTTATTATATTATTAATTACTTATCAAAGTTTTAAGTGACGATGACGGTGATGATGATGACGATGAGATATGTTGATGATTATGATGACGATGATTATGATGGTGATGATGATGCTAATGATTTCATTTGTCTTTCATTACATACTTATCCAATGTATGTTATTTATACACATACCACACACACACACACACACACACACACAAACACACACACACACACACAACACACACACAGACACACACACACACATACACATATGCTTACGTATTGCTCATATTATATTTAAAATAAATTGGCTTTTTCTGTTTTTCCATTTCTTATTTTTGCCATTATTATTATTAATACCTTAATTATTATTATTATTAGTGTTATTTGTTGTTATGTTAGAAATCCTAACTAAAAATTTTAATTGATATGTACTTGCCGTTTTTATGAAATTTTTATGAAAATTATTTTTTTTAGTCTCAGTCATATCTTGTAACTTTTTCACTTACAACACACACAGACTGACTCACACAGACAGACACACACACATTGACACATTTACACACAGAATACACATTTACACACAGAAGACACAAACACATACCGACACACACTTACACTTATAGCTGACAACCAACACACAGACACACACACACATACCAACACGCAGACACATACTTACACACACTCACTCACGCACATATTAATGCAATACACACACATCTATGTATATATATATGTGTGTGTGTGTACAAATATTAAAACAGTGCACACACATAACACTAGCTCTTAAACTTTATCGTATCTTCGATACTTTCAATTACTTGTATGACTAATTATACATACACGCATACACACCACATACACAGACGCACATAAACTAATAATAATTAAATAATAATAATGATAATAATTTATTTTTACTTTCATTACACATATTCAGTTCAAACATTGTCATCATCTTTTTCAATATATCTAACTATTTTCTTCGGTTTAGCTTAATACCAATGACCTTTAATTAGCTGAATGGTAAATGAATAACTATAGAATTTGTGTCTTTGTCAGTGTGTTTGAGTGTGTGTTTGTTCGTGTGTGTGTGTGGTGTGTGTCTGTGTGGTGTGACTGCCTGTGTGTATATTTTAATGATATGAGATGAGAAGTTTGAATTTTTTGGTGTTCTTATCATTAATAGATTGATTCAGATAATGTCTTTCATTGCTGTTAGCTAGTTGTAATTGAAGTCATCGTACATGTACTTCTTGCTAGATATGTTTTTTTTTAATATTTCTAAGTAGTCAGTAATAAAACTTATTTGAAAAATTAAAACTTGTTTTGGTCTAATAATTTGGTAGAGTTGAAAATATATATTATTATTATTCGTTGTTTGGAAAAATTCATTTGTTCTACTGCAATAGTCAATGCAAATCATTCTTGGAATAATTTTCAACCAACCGAAGGCGGTTGGTTTTCGGAAAATCGTTCTTAAGTTACGTAAGATGAAGATGTCAATGAAAGAGTACGATCGGTTAATTATGTAATAAAGTTAGACAAATTGCTGTTAACTAAGTTGGTTTGCCTAGAAGATGATGAAGGTTTACAATGTGGAAGTTAATTTGATTGGTGCACACGAGCTTACTAACGGAAAGTATCATATATAGAAAGATGGATGTTGGATGAGACTTGAAATTCGAGTGACCGTTTTTAGACCGTCTATAGACTATACTATCGAACCAACTATACACCATCAACATCCCATCGTTAGTTAGAGATAATTATGGAAATAAAATTATTCATTGAAATGTGAAAATATAAACGAAATCTATAAACGTCCAATCAATTCTGTACAATAATTAACGTACGGTTGTTTGCTTAGTGTTACGCGTATTGATGTAAGAAACATCTCTCTTCTCTCTCTCTCTCTCTCTCTCTTTTCCTCTCTCATTTCTTAATCTCGGTTTCAATATGTATGTATGTTTGTATATATGCATATAAATATATATATATATATATATATATATATATGTGTGTGTGTGTGTGTGTGTGTGTGTGTATGCATATATATGACGTACGTTTCATCAAATGTACACACTTCGTGAGAGGGCATGCATCCGAAATTGCTGTAGACAGCACTGCACGTTGTTTGTATACAACGTTTTATATATGCGTATGTATGTATGTAAGTATGTATGTATGTATGTATGTATGTATTTATGTTTGTATGTAAGTATGTATGTATGTATTTATGTTTGTATGTACGTATGTATGTATGTGTGTATGTATGTGTGTATGTATGTATGTATGTATGTATGTATGTATGTATGTATGTATGTATGTATGTATGTATGTATGTGTGTGTGTATGTATGTATGTATTTATGTATGTTGTGCATGTGTGTACATCCATTTATATCTTACATACGTGCATGCATACACCGATCATTTGAATGTTGGTATGTTTGATGAAATAATGAATTGTTATCTGTTTTTGGTTTTCGAATGAATGCTGTTGTTTGTATGTCGTTAACTTTCATTAAATGCAATATTAAAAAGTTGGGCATGGGCATACGTTGGGATTTGTATTGGAGATCGTTAAGTAAATTTTTTTCATTTAAATTTTAAATCGTAAAATAAAAATTTATTTTGTTTGTTTTTTTGAACCAGTGGCACATCACATATATAGATACCATATACAATACACATACATATATTATATAGATACTATATACAATAAACACACACATCACATATATAGATACTATATACAATACACATACATATATTGATGTTCGCATCGCAATTATTAAAAATGTTTAACATCAGTTAAATTGAAATTAATGAAAAATGTTGCAGTAATGCAAATGTAGGCAGGTAAGTTAGCCATCAGAACAAGAATTTTTCCGTAACTATATAACAAGGAGAGGTTAGTCATGTTCATGTGCAACTTAAAAAAATTAATTAATTAATCAATCAATCAATCAATTAATGATTAATTGATTTAGTTTAATTGTTTAACTTATTTAATACTAACACAAATACAACACAGATCATCCGAATATTTAATTAGCTTTTTGTTGCATGATCAGATAGCATGTCTAATTTAATCGGCGTTGTCTTGTTTATTTATTCAACGCCACTGGCTTACTTATCAATTACTACATACCTTTCCTACTTACTACTACTTTCACTATTATAACTGTGGCTACCACCGCTACTACTATTAATAGTACTGCTGCAGCTACTACTACCTCTACTACTAATACTGCAACCACTAATACTAGTATTACTATTGCTACTGCTTCGACCATTAATGCTGCTACGAATACTATATGACATATATATATATATATATATATATATATATATATAAACATTTATATATACCTATGTACATATAAATGTATACATATATATTTGTTTTTATTTGAAATATCACCGCATTTTCCGCATTGTTGAGTTTGCAACTAAGTTTTTCAATTTTCCGAACAATTGATTAAGATTGTTCTGAAGGTTAGTCACTGTTATATTTATCTACCCAACCAGTCCTACTATTAGGATTATACAAGGATAAACTTAAAGAGATAAGGAGTTAACACGATGTTGTTGTTGAGGATGATGTTGTTGTTGTTGATGATGTTGTTGTTGATGTTGTTGTTGTTGCAAATCTCTAATGATAACAAAATAAACTTTCACGTGTTTCAATATATGTCTGTGGCAATTTGCTGTTCCTTTTGAACGCTTCTGAATATGTCGACGGTAGTAATGGTAGCTCAGGCGGTAGGATTGCCATCTCTCGCGTTGTTAATGCGCGCTGGCCTGGTTCGAATATCGTCTGCTGGGATTAGAAAAGATGAGTCACCTAGATCTCTAGAAAGATATGCTCGTCATGTGGTGTGCGTGTTCCAGTATTTGTGATACAAAGGTTGATGGTAGGTAGGAAGGAAGGGAATGATATATAGGCAGCTTTGTGTTTGCTAGTACAAAAAAAACTACGGTGGTGTACTCAAATTTTTACAAAAAATAAATTAATAAGTATGTTATGTGTGTGTACGTGTACATACATCATACACATCTGGTTTTCAAATTAACATGGCGAAAATGCTTCAGCCAAAAATCGTATTATTGTAAATAATATACACAAATGGTTGGTGTTTGGCCATTTTATGATATTGATTTTGACCATTATTTGTATATTAAAGATAATAGATTAATGAGATATTTCAAATTTGTGTTTAATTGTTGACAGAACAAACAGACAACAAATTTTTGGGTGTTTCCATCAACAAAAAACAACAACAATTCGATTAGAACATCGACAGCTACTGCAGTAGCAGCAACAACCACAACGACAGCATCAACAAAAAAGGCAACAGAACTTCAGCAACATCACCATTATTGTTTGGTAGTGTAGCAACATAATCACAGAAACATGCGCTTATTTTCAATAGGGAGGCGGAGGGTTGTCCACGACCCGATGGTGGACATAGAGGGCCTACTGATCCATCATGCCTGGACGGAAATTGCAGACCCTAACATATTTGATAGAATATTCAAGAACAAAAAGTTAGCTAATGTCTATATGGTTTATAATCGTGATTTTGTAAATGTGGATTTAGTTTGTTATTTTCTCAGAAAATGCTTTTTAACTGATGAAAATTCGTGAAATAAATAATTCGTCAACTGTATTAATAATCGTTAATTAAATTAAATTACATAATTAATTTAGACATATGATTGATTTTACATTAAAATGAATTAACAAAACTAAATAAATGGACAACTTCCCGCCAGATTTCAGTTGGAAGTAAACTGGAGTCACTTGGACATCAGCCATCAACTGACTTCATTCAGGATTCGGAACAGATCGGGAACAGACCAAATTATAGGTGGTAGTTCGTTCGCTCAAAAATCGAAATCCCAAACAACATCGGAAAAATTGAGAAGCAAGGTCCTCCGGAGGGATCTCTGTCTCTTCAGGACTGAGTTCACCAATACTTCCGACGAGGCGCAAACATTCACTTTTAAAACTGAAAGGAAAACGACATCCAGGTTGGAGCGTGGTTGACCTCATCAATAATTAAGAATTAAGATGACGTTGTTTGTTATGGAATGATCATGCAATCGATAGTGAAGGTGGAAGCCAGTCTGATAAAATGATGAGATGAATAAGATGCTATTAATTAGTGGTAACTGAACTATAGTAGTAACAATTTATACGGTCTCATTGACCAAGAAATAAATAAAATATCTTCAATGTGTATTTATTATTATCTCTATTTGATGAGCATTACGTGAATCAGACAAAAGAGATTAAAGAGACAAAACATCGCATTCAAAATCAGATGCGACATAAGCATCCAGCAAGGTTTCAGGATCGGTGGGAATGTCGACATTCGAGTGTCCATCCCGACAACTCCGGCAGGGATGCTACCGAAGGTGGCCGACGCCGCAGCGAGCGAACTCGATACTTGTCGAATCACCGGCGGACTCAGCGGAGAGCTCCATGTAACCAAGGCTACCGGACAAACGATTGAAGAGAATTTAACGTGGGGAGTGGATAGCCAGGTAGTGAACGAGGGATCGAAAAGATGAAAAAATGAACGCCTACGTTTCGACGAACAAATATGTATATGAGTAAATGTGCTTACTGATGAATGAATGAATAATTAATTCCTAAAAACCAGATAACCACATGCACACGTAAATACACATACACACACATAAACACACATACGCGCAGCTGTCCACACACACACACACACACACACACACACACACACACACACACACCACAAACGAACATAGGTGAATGTTGAACCAAAATCACGTGTCGTAGCAGCTCTGATGATCAGAGAGGAGGAACTAACAGCTGATTTCGTCATCACCACGACCATCAGGGCAATTCATTCCGTGGTACAAGTCTACATTAAGGACAAGAAAACGAAAAGGTCAAGGTTGACTGCTGTTTGGTGCTGATGGATAAGTAAAATAAAATATAAGACGTTTCTTATATGCTGTGATATTTATGTGAATTGTTAAGGCAATGTTAAACGATGCCTCTTTCTATCTCTTTTAAGAATCTGAAAAATATTCCGACTTTAAATGAACCGTATTACCGACATAACAATTACACAAACTACACACTTATCTACACATCTACCCCTACCTGTATTTGTATGTGTATATATCGAAATACCCCATACAGATTGTTAGAGATATTAGAAATACCAGCCAAAAATTTAGCGGATATTTTAGGGTCAGATAGATTCTCAAAACTGGAGAATAACGTGGTGCAGTGCGACACAAAAGGCAACATAAAGGCAGTGTATGGGGCCGAGCAGGTCATCAGGGTCGACTCCTACAAAGACCTCAAAGGGGGGTTCGTCGATGGAGAGGCTCACAAATTTGATTCAACACTGCCCACCCTAGCCACTGATGGTTATTTGGTCGAGGAAGCCTAAAAAACAACGACAGAATTCTATGTAAAATATTTAAGTCCTAGATGAAAATTTTTTTTGAAAACATTCAAAACGAACTCTTGAAATAATTTGGATTGATTTAGCATCAGAAATTTTATTTCTACTGCTATAGTATTGGGGGGTTAAGATTTGTGATGTCTCTTGGAATATATGTACTTGCGTTTAATTTAATTTATTTGATTTATTAATTTTTTCAAAAAAAATTTATATTGAAAAAATTATCAAACATCACTGCTTAATATCATTTTAAATGATTGATTTACGCTGAATTCGCTAAAATTTCAAGTTGCGTCTGTTTATTGTCGGCACGTTTAAGATAAATCATTGTGATAGTTATAACTAGGCGCAATTGTTATTGCAGGAGCTGTGATTATTGCCATGGTGAGGTGATATCAAGACTCTTCTAAGTATTTGCAGACTGTTTTCAAAACGATGTTGGTTTCAATTGGTATAACCTTATTTGAATGATCAAAATAAAAGAAAACCACTTTATTTTTCAGCACTCTGTACTTTTATTTACAACTTTTCTTAAAGATATTATTCAAATATTTGACGCTTTCATGGTTTTATATTAATTCCTTTCAATATATACGTTCACTATTATAATTATTTGATAGCAATTTATTTTACAATAACGCTTTACACTATATTTCCATTTATTTGATCACGTCCATATGAAACATCAACGATTACGACACTTCAATGCACAGCAACAAAAGAACCAGTGTGTCGAAGTTCAATTTGTTAGACCAACCAGCCATACAAAAACAGCAACGTAACTATATTATAATAGAAATAAGAGCGTGCAATGTGATTGAGGCGTAATAATTAGACTTACGACACGCGGATAAAAAGTTTCAACAATCATACACAAATCTGTAAAATACAAAAAAGAGCATTGTTTCACATTTCTTTTTTGATGAGGTAGGCGAGAATGGCCAGTAAGAAGGCGGCGAGGAGAGCCCCTTCAAAACTGGTCAACAGTTCAACTTTCTTTCTCGCCCTTCGTTGAAACTCGCCACCTCTTAAGAGCATGGCATCGGTGTCAAAAGTTTTTTTAACCGTTCCAGCTACATTGCTGGCGACGCAGGTGTAGTTGCCTGCAGATGTCAGGGATATTTTGGAAATCCTCAAAAATTGAAAAGAACTTTCCAAGAAGATGATCTGCGATTCTACCATGGCGTTCAAGGAGTCGTTGGATTTTTCTCGAACGTGGTTATCGAAGACAGCATTCAAGTTTTCCACCTGCCTCACTGGTTTCATTTCATTTGATTCGTTGAGCCAGAGAACGGTAGATGCTGGATCGCTGATGATTTGGCAGGTTAGAACGAGAACATCTCGATCGTTGATGTTGAACTCTTCGTGGTAGGAATCTTTCACGGAGGGAGGAAGACAAGCAAAATTTTCGTTTTTTGTCTGAATGGACGAAATGTTGGCTTTTCAATAGATTAAACAATTTTCATAACTGCTGAATAATGCAAAACTTTACATTAGGTTGCTTGCTAATCGATTATATTTTCAAGCAAAAGCTACTAAAATAGTAACTAAAGAACCTACCTTCGTTAACGATACCCGCTTAGGTGTAACGAACATGACTTCATCGAGATCTTCAACCAACTTTTTCTTCACAACCTCTTCGCTGGACGTCACCATCTGGACGAACCAGCGCATCTCACAGTTGATATGTAAGGGATTGTCGTGGATCGTCAGAAGTTTCAACTTGGAAAGAAACGATTCCATACGCGATGGAAGAAATCTTATTTTGTTGGAGTGCAGTTTTAAAATGCCCAATGACGGCAAGATGTCGTTCGAATCGACCTCAAAGTAGGAAATATTGTTATTCGATAGATCCAACTCCACCAGTTTATCCAACTCGCAAAATTGAATTATATTTACGTATGTTATGTTATTGCCGCTTAAATTTAAAATTTTTAAATTTTTAAAAATGGCAAACATTTCGTCCGGTACTTTTGACAGGCGAGCGTTTGCAATGGACAGGTAAGTAGTTGATTTGACAGCCACGTTCCCCGCTCTGTGATGACACGACAGTTTATTAAAATTTTTCATTTATAAATATTTTATCCGATTTATTCAAAATTAACACTAATGAAATTAAAAAAACTTTACTGTATCGCTTAAAAAAAACAATACGACTATATTATATAATAGGTGAAATGTTATAGCAATTACCAACAACACGTATAAACCCACCGTTCGGCAAAGTAATTTAATGTTCCATTGTCGAATGAATTCAAATCCAACGTTATGTGATCAACGTTGCCATATTTTAAGAACAACACGTGTATCAAGCTGGCATTTTTGATGACAAGCCTTTGTAAACGATCAAAAATTTCTAAAAATTTTTCTTCAACGAGCAAACTTGTCATATGGTTCAGTATGGTTAACGATTTCAAACGGTTTTTCAACGGCAGAAATGCCCTGTTTGATAACGTAAGAAAAGCTGCTTTCTCTAAAATAATATTTTCTATAGATGAGTTGTCGAAAGCAAATGAATCAATATGTTCCAGCTTTGTTGCATTACAAATCTGAAACGTATTTATTAAGGAACCAGTGAACCAACGATTTCCGATTTTATTTAGAGGATTGTGTGAAATATCCAGTACTGATAAGTTGACGAAACCAGAAAACACATCTTCGTCTAGTGTAGATAGACGGTTATGCCTTAAATTCAATTTTCTCAACATTTTCAAGTCAGAGAAACACTTTTTAGCAATCTTCTGCAGACCACATCTGTACAAAGTCAGCTCTCTGATGTCTTTGTATCTTGAAAAATTTGCTCTTTCGATACTAAAAAGCGAATGTTCAATGATACTGCCCTTCTCAATTTCTTCGTTACTTTCATGTTTGCTGGCGTTGAAGGCCTCCAATGAGCTGTGGTATTCTGTTCCTCCGATTCTCAGGAACAAGGTCCTCGCTGGAATTTCATTGGGAAGTTTCTCCAGAACAACATTTTGCGGAGAGCATACCGTCCTACCCGTTGTGTATTCGTAGTGACAAATTGAGATTATGAATCTCAACAGACTCAAGCTGGCGATCACAATGACGACTAAGAAGAAGGAACAAAAATAAAGACATGCGGCCAGTGCCGGGTTCCTTTCTTCCGATCGAATCGACGAGGAATTAATATCTGGTTGCTTTCGGTCTGAAGAGGAATTTTGGTTGTTTTCATTGTCTCGCCGTCGATGGAACTGCATCATTCCTTTCTCATGTAAACGTTTGCACGCTTTATCGGCAATAAAAATGTAAGTCTAACGAGATAATTTACTTCTTACTAATACTTAACTATAAAACTTAAACATGCACCGCACATTGTGAGGTATTCTTATTGAAAATACAAAAATGTTCCAACGTTCTGTTTGCGCCGGTGTTTAACATTTCAATGCAACAAATTTTACCAGACAAACAAATAAATACGATTTTTACAAAATTCAAACAACCGTCTGAAAAATACACAAATCTGTACACGAAATTGCTAATAGACTATGCGCTCTGTCTTTAGCGATATCCTTACGTGGTACAAGGACCGCATCGTCGCATGTACACATGCATTATACACGCGCGTATGTACGAACGATGTACGCATTTCAAACGTACGTATGCATGTACGTAGGGACGTGTTAACACTGCGTCACGCGAATTTTTATTGATCCACATAACAGGCATGTGAAGATATCAGGTGCTGAAATATTTGTATGCTGTTCCAATAAATTACGCAATCCGGGCTGATATTACCATCATGAGATCCTGGAAACCGAATGTCTACGCGAGAAAAATACCAAATGAAAGGAAGTTGTTCGTTATGTGAAAAGCACGATTGGCATTTCGTTCAAAAAATTTTATCATTAAGAAATGAACAAACACGAGGGGGTGATCATTCTTTAATAAACAAAAACGTGTTGACCAAATAATTAGGAGATGAACGATACGATTGCAAAAAGACAACATTCAGTCGCGATGGGAGGACTTGTTTTTGTACTTGCACGTCAGAGAGCTGCTCATCTGCTGCAGCGTCTGATCCTTCTGATAGAATCGTTGCTCAATAACCTTTCACAATTAATAATTAATAACCAATGGCTGAATGGCTTTCATTTACAAATAAAATCTGTACTTGTTTAAAAAAATATTTAAGACAATCGTATCGTACTGTTTGTCTAACACATGAAGTAACTTACAAACAAACAAACCAACTTTATCATAAAATCGACTGATTTTCACAGCATTACCAGTGCCAGGAGCGATGTACTTGCCGTGAGAGGAGTCCTGTGTGTTTGTTCTCGTGCTATCACGTGCGTGTCATTCGTCATTGAGTGGTAGCAGTTTAAATTACAAAATCCTAAACAATGACTGCGTTAGGTTATGTTTCGGTATAATTAAAACGAGATGAGTGAATAATTTGATCGTTTCAAAACTTTATGCATCACCAAATAGTCTAATTAATTATAGGCAATTAATTAATTAATTGTGTGTGTGTTTGGCGTCATTACAATTGCGATTTAAACTGTGAACTGCTACGCTATGACGACAAACATATCAATAACTCATAAAATTCTGAGATAAATAAACGAATTGAAATTAGAGAAAAACAAGTTTAGAAAAAAAATATAAAAAAAAATCACGGACAAGATTGATTTCGTCAGCGCCGAGTTCTTCAGCGATGGTTGATATACGTCTGTGTGTGACGTCATTTCTGCCGGATGATGTCATCTCGAGTTTCGTGCCCACGACGAATATCGGAATGTTGCAGCCCACTAATTGCTCCGTGTCGAATTCACTAGAGGTAGTTTGTTGGATATGTTAGTGAACGAACGAATTGATGAGTAAATAAATGATTAAAAGATAAAGTGTCTGACTGAATGAATAAACGAATGAATGAGTGAATAAATGCATGGATGGATGAATGAATGGATAGATTGTTAGATGGACAAGCTCCACGGAGGATAAATAAATGAATGAATGGATGGATAAACAAGTGAATGAGTAAATGGATAAATGTTTCAATAGAAACCAATAAGAAAAAACCTGCCATCGTGATCTGGTTGTGAATCTCTGTTGAGAATTTCACCAAGCCATTTTTTCAAGTTCAACTGCGATTTTCTGTTCGTAAGGTCATGTACCAATATGATGCCTATTTAGAATTAAATAACAACTATTTAATTTTATACAGGAATTGAACTATAATCCTTGACCTAAACTTTATTTAGCAAGTAATCTAGACAACTAAAAAATAAAAAATTACAAATAAAAAAAGATAACCATTCAGCGAATTATAAAAAATTGCTCGACTGTTTTTGTGGGCCGACCAACCCCCGACATCCCATAATTCAACAAAAAAAGTTTTTTCATGATTGGTTCCTGCTTTGTACTCATGTAACTAAAAATAGAATAAATTAGATGAAAAAGAAACTTGAATAGGTATGGCAACAACAATCAACAAATTAATTAATTAGGCGAACTATGACAAAATTGATATCATGGTTAGTTAAGGTGTCTGGCACTGTTGCTGCCTATGACCTATGACATGCAATAAAGGAAACTAAAGAAAGCATGGATAATTCACACATGTGTGCATGGCATATTGTTGTGTTGATATCTCTGTATCTCTGAAAAAAAAAGATGAAAAAGAAATATTTGATTCCCCCGCTACCTTTACATCCACTGAACAACCAATGGTCCAATAGGGCTGACTAATTGGTGCATTCTGACAGAGTAAATGAGTTAGTGATGTCTTCCCAACACCTGGTGAATTAATATTCGTTGTTAGCAAAATGTAAAAAACAGTCAAAATTTCATTTTATTCACATTCACACAGATATATTTTTATTCTATCTCATATGACATCATCAATGATTATATTTGTCTAAATACTAAATCAGCTAAATCGAGAATCAAAAAATGAAATAAAGTACGACACGATATGACTTATTCAAAATAAGAAGTTATTCTTCTTTCATAAATAAAAATTTATCTGCCTGACATGGGTTGAGTTGGTTGACATCACAACTTGGAAATAAAAAAACAAAAGCTAGAAACCTGAATCTCCAACGACGACGATTTTAACTTTATCGTACGAGGCCATTAAAAAATAATTTAAATTTTTGTTTGTTTAAAATAAATATTTGAACCGAATTAAAAAATTAATACAATCAACTTAGATTAGTGTATTTTATAATTAAATTATTCGTATTGATTTTACTTTTAATTTCAAAACATTTGTGTATTGGACGCGTTTTATTACTTCGTTCAATTAAATTATCTAAATATGTATGGACAATATGGTACATGTGAAACATTATCTGCGTATATCAAGCTGGAAAAAATCATTAAAAAACAATGTAAAAGTGTCGTCAACATGAAAAAATGTGACCGTCCCAACTTGCCAAATAACCAGATTTAGGGTGAGTTAGAAGATCGCAGTTAGCAACTTAATTACAATCAATATACCCATGAATACAATAGTAGTCTATAACATTTAGCCACATTTAGCCACCACATCATCATCGATCATCATCATCGATAATTATTCTCATCCTCATCATCATTAATATTTGCAGTCCAAATGATAACAATATGATATGATAATTAAACGCCATGGAACAATAAACACACAAAGATATTTAATTCTTTACGCGCAAAAACACACACGTACACCCACATACACGCACGCGCACACACATACGTACACACGCACACATACATGTGCAATTGCTGTTACAAATCTTTTGTTCCATCTTTGTATTCTTTTTTTTAGATATGTCAATCCCATTAACCATTTTTTTCCAAAATTTCAAAATTATTATTTTGCCTATTTTATTATTTCATGATCTGAGTGGGTGGCCGACGCGCAAAATGCTGCTTCCAACGCCAGGCGACTGGCCTGGTAAGAAGCCAGCTGTCTTCAGATCCATGGTGACTGATGTGAGTGGAAAACCTAATTGACAGCCTCCATCCACATCCGCATCTCCTGAATGGCATCGACCACTCCTTTTCCAACAATAATAATTTTAATTTTTTAATTAATTAAATAATTTTTATATCTACTAAAGATTCTTTAACATAGGCAATCATGTTCAATCTAAATCGAATTTTGGGTAGGATTTGAATTCAAAGGATTTAAAATCATTACTTAATCCATATTTATTGTTATTATTGATTTTATTTTGAAACTAATTCTACACAACTGATTTTGGTTTTTAATTCAAATTAGTATTCACTATTCTTAATGTATGTTTATACCCAAAGGAAACTTAATGACGTGGAAGAGCTTGATAGCATGGAGTAACAACCTGCTTAAAGAATGCCACTGGAATGGATGAACATTGCTGACTGTAAATTTATTTAGTTGAAAATTTGTTTTCGCTCTATCTCTATCTCTATCTCTCTCTCTCTCTTTCTCTCTCTCTCTCTTTCTCTCTCTCTCCTCTTTTCTCTGCTTTTCTTTCGCTCTGTCGCTCTTTCTCTCTTTATACGTGTCTGTGTGCATGACTGCCCGTGTATGTGCGTGTTTGTTTGTATCTGTGTATGTATGGGTGTGTTAAGGTGTATATATATATATATATTATATATATATATATATATATATATATATATAAAGTAAATCAGGTATGGGATTGGCTACTATAAAAGAGAACATTTTGAAAGATTGCCACACAAAATTATTTGCTTATTTTTTTCGACTTGTCAGATCGAATATCGGTTTCGGTATCGATATCGGTTTCGGTAAATTAACGGTTCCTCTCCGTCTTAGAATCGCCAGTTATTTTCTACTGAGGTGAATTAATTTATATCAAATTTTTACATTTTTCAACAACTTTCATGTAAAATATTAATAAAATAAAGATTAATAAAATTTATCATTATTATTTTTGTTGCTCATATTATTATCGTCACCATGGTAATTATAAATAATATTATTATCGTGATAATTTTTATAAATATTATTATCATCTTCAATGTGTATGTCTTTTTAAATGATCAGTTCTGTCAAGTCACCTTTCAATTGAACAGTTACGAAATTTGCTACAGTATATTTATGTATATTTATTCTTTTACAGTCAATAAACATTAAGTATTTTTTTAAAATTGAAAATAAATTTTTTTTAATCAAAATTGTTGATGACATCATCGTTTTCGCCATCATCATCGTCATCATCATCATCATGATCGTAGTCGTCATAATCAACATCGTCATCATCATCTTCATCATCGTTATTATCCCCATTGTCATCCTAATTCTTCAATATCTTTAATATATTTATGCAATAAAGAAAAAAAAACATTTGTTCGCATTGTATATATTTTATTACTTAGTGTTTTAAGAGTTGTTATGGTATGTACTTATAGTAACAAAACAATAGAATGAGACGTATTTTTAATTGCACTGTGGTAGTATAAGTATTTGAAACAGTAGCAGTAGTAATATTGTTTTTAGTAAAAGCAGCAGCCGCAGCAATAGTAGTAGTAGTAATGTGTTGGTATTAGTATAAGCAGCAGCAGTAGAAGTACAACAACAACTACTCCCAGTGAAAGTTGAGTCCGTAGTAGAATTAGTGGTGGCGTAATTGTATTAGCTTGGTTGTTGTTAGCGATCGCCGTGGTTACGACACAAATTTTGTGCTAGCTGCTGAATGAACTTCAATAATCTACCTACCTACCTACCTACCTACCTACCTACCTACCTACCTACCTACCTACCTACCTACCTACCTACCTACCTACCTACCTACCTACCTATCTACCTACCTACCTACCTACCTACCTACCTACCTACCTACCTACCTACCTACGTAACTCCCTACGCAAAATATGCGAATAAATTAAAAGATCAAAAACCGCAAACAGAAATGACGACCCGATGCAAACCCATGCACCAGATTCTAATTTGCACAACAGCGCAAATTGATTTGCATACCGTAAGAAAGAAAAAAAAATTTGAAAATAAATTCGAATTTAAATTTGAGTGTAATAGATTGCTCGAAATAAAATAAAGTTGCATCGTAGCTTGGTCACTCGTTATTTTATTCTCATCCACTCTGACAATCATTCAATCGTTCGTTCCTTCACTTTTCATTCAATCACTCAATGTATAATTTTTTCACATATATTTGTTTTTATTTATTAAGCACGCATATGTATGCGCGCAAATTTGCATGAATTAAAACATACCAACAGATTACCATTTTAGTTCAAACAACGCACCTATGAATAACAATTACTTATTCATGCATATGCAAATGTCATAAATACATCCTCACAGGCACACACATACGAACACGCATACGCACACACATATACTCACGTACACACATACGCACATACGCACACACATACAGACAGACACATACACGGGACAGAAAATAGCTTTGGTCCTGTCACGGATATGAGTGAGAAATAAATGACATAACGCAGTTTATCTTTCTAAATATGCTTATTAAACATCATAGGAATGACTCTTAACATTCAGCATACAATCTTAACATTAGTTTATTTGTATATATCTATATATATGTACCAAATATCACACAGACAGGCGCACACGCACGCACACACATACACACGCACACACACATATGTATTTATAAGTACCACTGATAGGTATTTGTGTTTTTATCAGCATATACCTTGAGGCCCCAGACACTGCAGAGGTACATTGCAATTTATTACGCTCATTTGGTTCTCATGTCTTTGGCCGTTTGTTGTGTTGTTGTTCTTTGGTTTCTGTTGTTGTTCTTTAGTTGTTGTTGTTGCTATGTAGTTGTATTTGCTTTAAATTTATTTTGATATCTTTGGTTGTGGCGAATTTTATCGTGTTTTTGTTGTTGATGTTGTCTTGTCTATGTTGTTTTTTATGGGCGAGATGCTTTGAAATTGTTGGCTAAAATATGCTGTCCTGAATATTATTAAAATTTCGTTGTTGTTGTTGTTGTTTCGGTGATGCAGTTATGATGTCATTCTTCCGTGTTGATGTCATGGCATTGTTGCTTTCTACTTAGCTGCTAACATCAAAAGTCATTTCCTGCATTTGATGCCTACTCACTTTTCCCAAGACATCTTCCCCATCGTTTTCAGTTGCTCTACGATTTTATTTTATTTGTTTTATTTTGGCGAAATTATTTAAACTGTTGTTGTTTTACTTCTTTCAAAAAAAAACTCACCATTAGTTGTGTTGTCCTTTATATGTGGTTACATTAACGTTGGTGGAAGGTTTAATTAAGGAGTCCTGGTGTTGTTATGTCTGCAGGCTTTTATCTTCTCGCTATAAATGACTTTGTTGTTTATTTAACTATCCTTTTATGTTCAACTTTGCTGATCTTACTTGCTGATGTGTCGAGAGATTTAGGATCTTGGTAAAGTTGTAAATTTTGAAAGATAAACAGTCGAATTAATAGATGATGGATGATTAGCACTAAACACACATTACTCTAATTTCATCTCTCATCTCTCTCTCTCTCACACACACACACACACATACATACACATATGTTCACAAACAAACACACATACACTAATATATGTTAGGAAATTGCTAAAAAATAATTTGAATTGTTTTTTATACAGTTTGTTGATTTATATCCCCAGTTAAATGCCTACATTAATTAAGATATATTAATTTGGCATACTTCTACTTTTAAAATGTTAAAAAATAAATATATTTTTGCCAAATAATGCAAATAAATTTACTGGAATAAGCAGTACTTAGAAATTAAATAAAATTAAAAAATTTATAAAAAATACAAATAAAATATAGTTAAAAAGTTGAATTAAAAATTAAATAAAACATCAAACAAAATTAGAAGTCAGAAAAACATGGAGAAAAATAGTTAGTTGTTAATGGTCCCATGGAAAGACGCCAATAATGACAAATGTCTTTCTCCGCCCTCAACCCGAGCAAACTTCTGAATTGCTCTTCATTTACATTTTTCTTTGAAAAAAATGTTTCATCCATATAATTTTTTAAATATTTAAATGTCATTAAATTTTGTTTCTGGCTCGGTGAGTATGCTCTCCTTAACTATACCTACTCAAAAATTGTATCGTCAATACTGATACCGATACGATACCGATACGATACCGACACGATACCGATACGATACCAATACGATACCGATACGATAACAATACAGGCTTTAAAAAGTGTTACCGACGCTCTTTTCAAAAAGTGTTCCCGGCAATTACGATATATTTACCAATGGTATTTGTAGAGGTATTTATGTTAGTACTGCAGCTATAGTTGCAGTACATGCATACAGATGCGAGTATTATTAACTTGACGATATGGCTTGTAAAGAGTGGTCAAGATATACGGAAAATAAAAACAAAAATATTATTACACTAACTGCTATTAATTTTTTTAAAAGCCGTATTAACATTAGATCTCTTTTAAGATCTGTGGACAAATTACTCAAGAGATACAAATAAATTTTTTTTTCATTTGTGCCGATTTGTTGTATTTCATAATTCAAATAATAAATATCGTTTTATAAATTAATAAATAGAAATTAAAAAAAATGTTTATTAGCGCTTTATCTTCTTGAAAAAAATCTTCATTTAAGTCTTAGATTGATATTTGAGTTGAAAGGAGAAAGGAGCAAATATTTGTTTCGGACGATATTTTTTTCATTTTAAGATATTGTTTGGTGAAAATTTAATAAAATAATCTTCCTTCTGCGAACTGGTCACGAACTTTTACTGCAGTGTGCGAGATAGATAAGCATGAGAGATAGGGCTACATTTATTTTTCTATTTACATAATTTTTCCAGATATAATTTTTATTTGGTTGCTCATTAAGTTGTTTATGTTAAAATTCATTTAAACTTTTTGTTACTGGGTTCAATTTTTTTCGCAATGAATTTGCAGCTGTGTGATAGCTTACAAATTTTGTCAGAGCCAGAAATTATTGGCGTTTTATCACTTAGGTGGTTGGTTTTTGTTGGCTCATGTGATTTTAAAAGCCATTAATGTATTCACCATCGGTAAGTTAAACGCTGACTCTTGATATATCTTTTTCACTTCTCCATTCCCGATTTTGTTTGTATATTCCTAGACTCGTTTAAATATTTAATTATTGATTCGCTCAGTTAACTCTTATAGGATTCTATATACTATTATAAATGTCAAAAATGTTTTTATCATTTTATAGTCATTTGTCATTCATCTATTCATTCATTCGTTCATTCATTCATTCGTTCATTCATTTATTCAGTCGTTCATTAGAGCAATTGACTATCAAGTGACCTCAAGGTCATCAGGTTCAAGGTCATAGTTCAACCGGCGTACGTACATCAGCCTGAGGTAGGCTATATTCATATTTATTTTTAATGAATTATTTTTATTAAATTTTTAAATCGTAAATAACAAACTTTCGAATATGT